AAACTAAATGAGTTTGACCTACACTTTTATTGTGTTTTGATCTTTCATAATTAAGTAGATATTACAGCTCAGGTTCCAGATTTTCAACCGCAATTAATTATTTTTTACAATATTTTAAAAGTCTAAAACCTATCCTCTGTGACTGTTACTCTTTCTAGGTTAACCTATATGTTTTCAAATATCTGAGGTATTAAAAGCATACTAAAAATATCAGTTCACTAAGTAAATTAAACACATCCAAAGCAATCGAATAAAATATTATTAAAAATTAAAAGAAATAATTTTTATAAACATTTATGTAGGTGTTACAAAAATTGATTCTATCCTCCGTGAATCTGTTTTTGCTTTAAATTTTATGAAACGGATGGCGCTTTAATCATTTTAAATAAGCAAAAACCTCTGTTTACGACATCATAGATGCATGTGATTCCTAAAGGTGAGTTAGAATTTATATGCAGATGAGACTGTTGCTGTTTTATAATTTAAAAGTTTAAGTTCATTAATTTACTATTTAAAAACCTATCCACCGTGAAGTGTATTATCTCAGTAAGTAGATTTTTTTATAAATATTTTATGTAAGTATAATTGTATTTTTAAAAATATTAAGGTGTCAAAAGATACAATAACTTATTTCAAAAAATTAAAAAAAAAACATACGAAATCCTAACCTCTGTGAAGCTATCTTCTGTGAAGCTCTAATATTTAAAATGTATGATTTCTTAAAATTCTTGCATTAGTGCAGAACCACTATGTTATGTTATTACTAGACCTGGTGGCTTCCCAAAAACCCCATTCTAGACTAACAGTGAAACAACAAAAAAAATAATTTTCACTTGGGGGACATCTCTATATATTCACCCTAATACAATCGGCGCATTATTAACCACTCGACAAAAAATTAAATTGAAAGTGAGTTTTATTAAGTTAATTTTTTTGTTTGTTAATTTAAAGTGAGTTTGTTGATATTTTTGTATTTGTTTATATATTCATACATTCATACAAAATCCTACATCAATAATTCAACCATAATAATTATTCTTGTAATTTTTAAAAAGGACCTTACACTGAAAAAAAATATTCTTGATTCAAAACAATCTTTGTCTCATATATGTTATGTATATAACGAAGAGAATGTAATCTTTAAAATAGTAAAGTATTTTCTTAATTCACGTTGATTTACTTCAAGAATATTTTCTTAATGTAAGAACATTAAGAAAATATTCTTGAAGTAAATCAACGTGAATTAAGAAAATACTTTACTATTTTAAAGAATATATTCTCTTCGTTATATATGAGACAAAGATTGTTTTGAATCAAGAATATTTTTTTTCAGTGTATTTTTACAGACCCACACTCAAAAAAATATTTAGTAAATTTACACATCTGATCGTTGGTTATTTTGATGCCACGTATTTAAATGTATATGTACAAACATACTGTAAAACTACATATATATAATGTGTAAAAATGCAAAGGTCATGTAAATGTAAAATTTAGGAAAATAATAGTACAAGTACATTAAAAATTGTAAAAGCACATAAATTTAAGGATGTATTACATAATAATATGAAAAACTACATATTAATTTAAAAAAATACATAAATTGATGCTATTTTACTTATGTAAGTATGTGTGTACATGTTTTATATGGAACAACACATTTCTTAAGTAAAAAAACAGAAATAAATGTGTGTTTGGATGTGTAAAATTTCGTAAATTTTTTTCAGTGCAGTACCAAAAGTAGATATTTGTTGAAAATTGATAAAATTTTGATAAAAAATGTTGCTTTCCTAAACAAAAAAATTAACACATACCTTCATAAATGAACACACAATTAAATATCACACCATTCTGAAATCATCAAATTATAAAGAAATTTGGTACAATATAATTATCAGTATTACTACAACACTCACTAATGTATTTCGTTACTTTAACCCACGTCACAGATTTCTGGTAATATATTATAAACACTCTGGACAGTTGTTACGAACTCGTTACGAATTGGAATAAAGTAAGCAGAAACATAAGTTGCAGATGCAGAAGTCAGTTGAACTTGTTGATGCGTATGACCTGAAATCACGTGTACTATTCAACGAAATAATTTGTTAAACATTAACAAAATAATCTGTAACCTTTAAAATAAACAAAATGCTTAGAAAATTGCATATTACCTTTACAAAACTTTTGGTAAAATATTTTCCTTTGTTAAATTAATTACAAACCCTGCTTTTCTACAAAAAATATGTTTTTACAAAATAAAATTTATGTTAACAAATCTGATTTTTCATAACAGCCCAAGCAACACAGAATGGTATATTAAACGTTTAAAACGATCTACTACCATCCGTCACTTCGTCGTATATGTGAAACGTATTATAAACTGCAGAATGTCCGCGACTTCAACGTATATATACAGATTTCTATATTCATTTCATTAACGTATTTACATATATGATTTTTTTTATGAAATGGTAAACGTATATTAGCAGTTTACATTTACAGGTTTTACACGTATTCCAAATACGTTTATTAAATGTTATGTATTATATAAATTTATACGTATACCAAATACGTGTATTAAATGTTATTTTTCCTTATTCATTTATACGTATAATGAAAGGGTTATTTTTCTTTTTCGTAACCTTTTAGACAAAAAAAAAGAAGGTAAATTCTCACTTAATTTTATTCGAAAAATACATTTTCGTCTTAAAATTAAGTGAGAATTCACCTTCTTCTTTTTGTCAGAGAGGTTAGGAAACACCCTGTATAAACTATAAAAAGTATTAGTCCTTAAGTGACCTAAAATAATTAAAAAGTTTGTTCTTACTGCACGGTACTGAAATAATAACTCGTATACAAAAAACAAAACATATATTCTTTAAATAAACAAATTTGTTGCACAAATGTGACAAGGAAACAAAGTTATAACTTATAATAAAAATAACGTATCTACGGGTTTTACATTTTTTCTCTGTTATGCGGATGCCGGTGTTTGCTTAATTTCAGCCAGTCTTTTATCGCTTGGGATATTACAGAATCGTTCAAATCAAAGAGGTTCTCTTCCTGAATATGAAAATTTTACAGCTTCTAAAAAATGGAAAAAGAATATAAATAATTAGTAGGTAGTACTTGCCATTAATAACTCCAGCTATTGTTGTTATACTAAATGGACATAATTATGAATAATTAATGTTAATTATGATAAATTAATTAAGAAATACCTACCACCTAGAAAGATAGGTACCTATATGAATTAACAAAAAAACAGAAGAAAATTTTAGAAATAACTCCAGAATATTAAAAATAAAAAATTGAAAAAGGAAAAAATTAAAAAATATAAAAATATTTTTATTGCGACAATTTTTTTAATTACATATTTTAATATGTATACAAAAGAAAGTATACTTTATACATATTACATAGTATATATACTTTTTTTTGTTAAAAATTTAAAGTTAATAAGACAATTAATTATTTAAAAGTTTATTACAAAGACGTTTAAAAAAATATTTTTCTAAATTTACCTTACGAACAAATATTAGTTTACATTGTAAACTAATATTGGTTTTAATTTAATTTTGAAATGGGGTAAATATTTAAAACATAAAAAGATTCTAAATTTTAGAACAATAAAAATTATATGGTAAAAAAATAATAATTATAATTATAATTATCATTGTTTATTTACTACTTATATCATATTTTTATTGTTTTAAAATTTAAATATTATAATTATTTTTAATATTCTAAAACTTAATATTTTTTATTTTAAAAATATATAAATAAAAAAGATAAAAGTTTAATGGTCTGGCACTTTAAAAACATAATTAATTTAAAAAAAAAAAGAAAAAAAGTTTTTATATTTTCCGGCACCCAAATTTTTCGGAAATTTTGAATCTCTAGTATAGAAAACTAAAATTTCCTGCATACGGTCACCCTTTTTAACAGGCAGTATGTAAACGGTATACAGTATACAGTATATATACGTATACGAAACCTTTACTTGACACTAAAAAATCGTTTAATTTATTTGACTTGCCAAATTTTAACATATAAAGATAAAAGTACCTACATGAATGCATTCATGTAAAGTTAAACAAAAGCTTCTAAAAGATAAATTAAAAACTTACCCTCAACTCCTTTTCCAAAAGATAAAAAGAACTAACCCTTAAATTTGTTATCCACGTGTAGTAAGATACTTGCCTTCTTTTTTCTTCTGTAATCGAATAAAACCATGTATAAAAACAACAATTGAATACAGCAAATCTTTTTTAAAGTATTTAGGCACACTTACCTAGGTAATTATAATTACTTTGCAATGCCTGGAGCCCGGCGTTTTCACTTCACAACAGGCTTTTCTTACAAAATGACGCCACGGGCGGAACCTGTAGCTGTTTGGGTTAAGACGCGACATCATTGGGTAAATTTAATCATGTGACTAAATTTTGCAGTGTTCAATATAGGTTTTGTACACGTATACTGTATACGGTATACAGTATACCGTTTATATACCAGATTGTGTAGTGTGGAAAATAGGTATACTTTATACCATTTAAGTACAAAATTTAAACACGTGTTATATACGTTTTTAAAATTTAGTTTTTTTTAATAATTTCTTAATTACAGCTCAAATTTATCCGATATTCACAAAACAAGTTTTGTAAGGGCCTATCATACTTTTCGAGTCAGAACCATTAAAAAATTAGGCTTTTATTTGACTTCGTGTCAAAAATGGAATATTATATACATATAATATATGTTTCTTATATACGTTAAAAAAATTAATATATTTTTTGCTATAATATACGTATATGTTACGATAAATTCATCATTTAACTGAAGTTAAAGTCCTATAATATCCGTATATTATACGTTTCATATAAAAAAGTAATATGAAAAACGTATATTATTTATACCTTTGAAATGTTATACGGTTTTTATACGAACAATACGTTTAATAAACGTATATACTACAGAGCCGTGTTGCTTGGGAGTGTAGTTGACCTAACAAATAATAAAAGTGGAGTGGATTAAACATTGTTTATTGACTCACAGATTCACATAACTATGTTTATACAGCATTCAAAATATTATATTTCTCTTTTTTGCTGGTTATTGAAATTCTATTTGTTAACGAACAAATATTTTCCAAATGTTCCCCAAACTCCAATTTAAACAGAAAATTCTGAATTTGCATCCTGGCCATCATGTTATTTTGGGGACTTAGACGTTTCAAACAAGGAACGCAACTCAACATGAAGCACTCATCTGCGTCATACTCATTCTTTTTATTTTTGGAGGAAACAACTTCTGCTTTTATGAAGCTCTCAGTTTCATCATTTTGACTCGTGCATTTAGCGTTTACGGCATTTTCATTTTCAATTTTTAAACACGGACTTTCAACTATGAGCTCAAGAGAGTCAACTTCGTTATTCTTTCTTATTAAGTTTTTCATATCCATTGTGTCCTTTCTGCTTACCTTTGCCTGCATGATGAGGGTGTGGGTATCAAAATGTCGCTTCATCAAGTTCTTAATATCTTTTGAATTAGCATGGTGATTTTTCTTTAGGAAATGTTTTATTTCAGGGTTGTTATTTTTCCTTAAAAAATCTCCAAAATATTTTGAATCAGCGTCATATTTGTTGTTTACGTTCTCGTTATTCTTCTTTAGAACGTCATTCATAACAGTTGTTCCATCTGGACTACATGGAGCTTCCGTGTTAGGTGGATCAGCCTCGTAATTTTGTTTTAACATGTTTACTATTTCCAAAGTATCATTTCGACTGTATTGAACTTCTTCGCTTACATTCATATTATATGCATTTTCACGATCTAAGAAAGGATTTTCATCGAGTTCACCATCATCAATGTCTTCGTCAAGCAAGGAACTAGGAACAAGAAATAACATGTGCTCGTACACGCGTTGTATATCCTTTTTCTTTTTTTCTTGTCGTTTTATCTCGTGTATTCTTTTATTCAGGCGTGACTTTATGTTTGTCATCCTTATCTAAGAAATATAATATAAGAAAATTAAATCATAGGAATTTTGAAATATTATTGAACAATGCAGAAATTTGACAATACTCGTCAATGTTTTTGTAAATCATTTTGTCAAAAATATACAGGGACTTATTATTAAATAAAACAGTTTTAAAAAACGCAATGATTTATAATATAATATAAAAATATCTGTACAAACATATGCCTCATTCTCGTTTGTGTATCGTCGAGTTTTTACTAGTAGAAGAATAAAACTCCTCCAAATTTTCCCCAAACTCCAACTTAAAAAGTAAGTTTTGAATCTGTATCCTCGCCAGCATGTTATTTTGTGGACTTAGTCTCCTTAGACATGGAACGCAACTTAACATAAAACACTCATCCGCGTCATATTTTTTCTTTATAAATCTTATTTTTCTATTTTCTATTTCATGGCCTTGACTAGACTGAGCTTCTTCTACTGTTTCATCCTCATTATCATCGTCATCTTCATCATCATTATTATCATTATTTGTAACGATTTGAAAGGTTTCCGCAAAGGAATCATCATCATGTTGTGCCTGATTTGACCCTGTGTCTTTGTACTCTATGTGAGGAACTAAAAACAGCATTTGGTCGAAAAATATCCATTTTCTTTTTTTCTTTCCGTTTTTTGCTATGTTTGAGGACCTGTAGTTTTTTATGAAAGCGTCTCGTAATGTTCTCCATCTTTTCTTGATGTATTCTATATCTGAAATAAAAACAACATTTTAGTGTCAGTTTTTGGACCAATTAAATTTCACAATATAATTGGTTTTATCAGTTTTACAGTGATAAACATCGTTACAACCACTGTTTGGTTACTACAACAACAGATTGTGGTTGCTAAAAATAATTAAGTCAATTTAAACATTTGTAACCAAATTTACGATTTGGCCAGAAAAATTAACTTGAAATCGGCAGTAAAAGAAACGGTACGTACCTAATATATATTCGTTTTTTACTTGGAAATTTTGCTCGTGGTTTTAAGTCAAAACCATTTGCCTAGCGGCTCATGGTTTTAATAATTATATTTAAAAAAAGTGTCGGTAAAATTGTATCACTAGTGGTATAATACAGGGCGTCCCAAAATCACCGGAGCAAACGAAAGGGGACAAGATAAAATTTCATTTACCATTTTTATTTAATTCACAAAATTGCTGGAGTTATTTCATTAAAGCCACCAATGAGCGAAAAATTCGTTTTGGATTTTCGTAACGAATTGAAGAAGTCACATTTTCAATAAAATTGACATTGTGGCGCTATCTAAAAGTGTTTCACTTCAGCTTTCAGGTGGTATTTGCAGAGTGGCAGAAATATGTGTCTAAGTGCCTTAGTTTGCATTTATTTCAATGCAAGAAGTACCTAAGTCATCATTTTGACAGATGCAATGCAACATGTGCCTTAGTCCACGTTATTTAAATTAGCTTATATCTGAGCAAATTACCTATTAAACTGTGTAAATCCTAATAATTTGTGTCTTTGATTAAAAACATAACTATGGCAGGCAAAATGATGTCATTGATCAAGAAATTAATCAGTTACAAGAGGCCGACGCTGTTTATGAATAGCCAGCCTTCTTATTATATTCTTAGATATGTTCTAAGTTATGTCTTAAGTTTTGTTCACAATTTATATATTTTTTACGGCGTTATAATATAATAAACCTTTTTTTAAGTATAAACAAATTTTTCCTCATCCCTTAATTTTTGACAAAATAAAAATATTTCAACAAAAATCCACAAAGTTGATATAAAAAAATATTGTTTCTTTTTTAATCATGGAAGTCCAATCCACTTTTCACAAATAATACAATACAACACACATTTTCATCATAATATTTTGTGTAATATTTCATAATCAAAAATAAACCTTTAAACCGCAATATCTCAGAATCACCTATTTGTGACTAAGGCACTTCTTGCATTGACCCCTTCAATTGACCCATTTTGTTTGGTCCGGTGATTTTGGAACACCCTGTATATTATGAAACAGCTCAAAAAAACAATTTTATCAATTAAAAATAATTAACACATTAAAATTGTTTTGCTAGGCTTTATTGCTTAAATAAATATTTTTTTTTTAATTTTGAATTAAAAATGCTAAAAATTTGCGATTTGACAATACAAATCAACTTGAAATTGAACTGGCAGTGAAAGAAACAATAAAAAACCGAATGGTTCTCCTGTACAAGAAAGATACCTAAAATATTCGTGAAATTGTCTTGCTGATACTGATAAAATTCTCCCTAAAAATATTTTCAATTTCCAAGCAATGAACCTTTGATATAATTTTCCACTAGTGGTATTATACGATAATAGTTATAATATTTTTGGTTATAATTGAAGGGGTTAAATAACATTTTTAACAAATTTAAATGTAACATAATTTACGGTACCTATGCCACGTTAAAGGGGGTTATTTGATGTGAGGTGTCTGGTCAAAGATTAAATATACTCGTATATTTAATCTTTGGTCTGGTATCAAAACGTCAATGTCAATCGACAACTTGGAATTAAAACGTACAATCTTCAAATAGCCAATAGGAAGCGCGATTTGGCCACGTGTATACACATAGCATGTTTTGTTTGTATGTTCTTATTATCATTTACCTAATAATTACATTTTTTTTTTAAATAAAAATAATTATTTATATAATTTATTTTCAAAACAAGCTATCCCAATTTTTTTTTGTATTACTGGCTTAACTTGAAATATTTCTTTAATTTTGCATCTTAGCAGATATAGGTAATAATTGTCATTATCTATAGTGCCCGTAATAAAACTCTACCGCACCTTAATATTTTTATCAATAATCAGACTTAAAAAACTTCTTAGTAATTGTTTGTTTGCAGAATTACTGCATTAATAGGGTATTGTAAAAAAGTTCAAAATGCATTTTTGTGAGAATATTCAACCATTTTATAATAGTATATTATTATACGAATGATAATGCGCATAATCTCGAGATTAATACTATACTTTATCAACTCCAATAAGTAGATAATTAAATGATTTTCAAAAATAAATAAATAAAATCTTACATCTGTCAAATGGTTAACCTCACTTTTTACCAATTTTAAATGTTATTATAGTCGCCTTCTCCCAATTTAAAACGTGATTGGTTTAAGTGAATATAAAAATCGGCCAATCGCTGATCACTAGCAACGTGAATAATGAGTTCATTATTTTCCCGTTGTTAGGCAGGGGATTTATAAGGTTTATCATTATTCACTAAAAAAACAATATTATGCAATGGGAGTAAATAAACATAATAACTATATTTTGTAAAATGATTTATACTTTCTCCCAAAAATGCATTTTATACTTTTAAATTGATTTTAGAAAATTATTTGTCAAAATAAAATTATCCGACTTTTTTGGACTGTTCTTAATCTTGTCGATTCAATTATTGCAACACTTGTATGTGGAAAAAACCTGTGTAGGAGAAACAAAAATCCTTAGATTTGTAGACTTACCTTAAAATAATAAACCATCTCCCCTCGGGCGTGACAAATCGTGACAGTCCTTCAAACCCCCCTCCCCCTCCCGGGTCACGAGATTTATGGTTCCATAGATAAAAATATTATTCTAACCTTAAGGTGTAGCAGAATGTACTTCAAAGGTAATTGAGCCCTCTACAACTTTCTCTTGTATAGTTTTGGTATCGGCTCAGTAGTTTGATACTGGCGATTTTTTTACAAAAATCGAGGTCAAAAATTTACATATCTTTCTGGGAAAGATAGAAATCGAAAAGATAATTCCAGTTTGATTTATTTTACGTATAGATTATCCTTAAAGGAAAAAAATAAGCTGCTGTTTATAAAAATCAATGGATAAATGGCGAAGTTAGGAATTTTTCAGTGAAAGACCAAAATTCAGTTTTTCTAGAATTTTTATGTTTTTTCTTAATTTTATTGAATAATATTAAATTTAATATTGAACATTGATTTTTATTTTAAACATTAAATATTGAAATTAAATTATATATTGAATATTAAACAATAAATATTGAACATTGAAGAAAGTTTTATTTTGTTGTAATAAGCATAGGTTTAAAAAAACTCTGGCTCCTTTTTTGTTTTTTGATGCTTTCGTATTCCGTTTCTTGTATGAGGGACCAAATGTAATCACCCATCATGGCTGCATCTAAGAAGCCGTAATACCGCCGCTCCATAGCCTTCATTTGCTGGTGAAAACGTTCTCCGTGCTCATCACTTACGTCGCCCAGATTGTGAGGGTTATTTACGCACTCGAACTCTCTACTTCTTTTACTCATTTTACACTTTTTATTGACTAAATAAAACCATGATAAAAATACCTTGTTGAAATATTAAAAAATATCAGTAAAATGTCACTATGACAACAGGAGAAACAAAAGAATTCACGTTTGCGGAGTCATGTCAAATTTAAATTTTGAATAATGTTTTCGGTGAAAAAAGTATGTAAAAAACTCAAAAAATTCCAATTATGTACTTTATTTAGGTTTTCATTACAAAATAAAATAAAATAGTCATAAAGCTGAATTTTGCTCTTCCACTAAATAAAATACAAAATACAAAATAAAATAAAATAGTCAAAATAAAATAAAATAGTCAAAAAGCTGAATTTTGCTCTTCCACTAAAAAATTCATAACTTCGCCATTTTTCCATATATTTTTATCAACATTAGTTTTTTTTTTTTTTGTAAAAATGTCAGCTTCACGAAAAAAAAATCAAACTGGAGTTATCTGTTTGATTTAAACCTTTCCCAGGACGATATGTAAATTCTCGACCTAAATTTTTGCCATAAAAACGAATTATTTAAGTTTATATTTTGTAAACTAGTGTAATTATTATTATGTTATTAAATAGTAAAAAGTGACTGGTTTCGATTTCAAAAAATGAAAAACATTGGAAAAAAGGAGAGTTAAAAAATAAAAAAAAATCAACCAAAAACACAATGTGTTTTCATATTGTTTTGTAAGGACTTACCCTCGTAGACAAGCAACTCTATATATAGATATATCTATCAGCAGCGCACGTGATAAGAAATATTTCACACGTGTATAATATTATTGTGGTTTATGAAATAATTAAAAGTATTTTTTAACTAGACCACTCACCTTCCAAATTACAAATTTTACCAACTTCAGTCCAAGCCTTTTCACGCGCATTCGTATTCTTATAAGCGGCCAAAGACTTATCGTATATAACCGGATGATTTTCAATGGTTTTAATGAGAAACTCTTCTTTAAAGGACATTTTATCGATCAAACAGTTAGTTGCATAATGTGAGGTTACGTGTGGTGTGATGTTTTTTTGTAGAAACACGTACTTGCACAGCGACCGCAAAGCAACTGACTGCAATGCAGTGAACGCTGCGCGTGTCCGCTCCGTGCCGGACCTTGCGGCAGCTCGAATAGCGGAAACAAAATTCCACGCCGTAACGCAAACTGCTGGTGCGGCAATCCGATGTACAGCGCCGTACTTCCAATAAAATGCAAGGTTGGATTTAGAATTTTGACGCCCTGTAAAAGCTAAGATAAACCATATAATTGTTCTATTCTTAAGAATTTGCTACATATTTTTAATTTTTGAAAGAAAATAGTTATTTATGTATTCTTTATCACAAATGTGGAAATTATTTGCCGAGGCGAAAGCCGAGGCAAATAACCACGTGAGTGATAAAAAATGACTTTAATGCCAAGGTGCATATTAAATTTTATCCGAAATCACATTTAATAATACTAATAATTAATATTGATGATTAAATCAAATGTCATTTGAATGTAGGAAGTGTCTACGTAGGTATACTGTTTGTTGCGATGGTTATTATATATTTGCCAACCGCGGCGATTTTTTAATCTGATTAATAAAATTAACTTATTATTTTTATTAAACAACATTTTATGAAAGGGTCCAATCGACCTCGGCAACGGTGCTTTTTTTTAAATATTATTTATAAATAATATTTAAAAAAGCACCGTTGCTATAGTTGCTGCTGAGGAGCAGTAGACACATCTTAAAATTTATAATGGGTTGCATACAATACTCGTATTAAATCGGCAGTATAGTTGCTGCTGAGGGGCAGTAGACACATCTTAAAATGTTTAATAGGTTGCATACAATACTCGTATTAAATCGGCAATAAAGTTCTATTTTACTGCCGATTTATTTTACTTTACTGCCGATTTCGGATAAAACATATTATTAGAAAACACCATTAACATTTTTTTATCTGCTCATACATTGGCAAGCTGTGACTTTATGGCGTTTTAGTCACGGGCTGAAGTTAGCTTTATTATAAATTGGGAAAAAGTAAGGTTAAATCCGTTGACATTTGACGGATGTCAAATGTTTAACAAATAGTTTAAAATTCTTCTTTATGTTCGTCTTAGATAAAGTATATTTAAGTAACTCGTTTTATACACTTCTAGGCAATGCCTAATAAAACTCGTAAGTAACATTTATAAAACTTGATACATAATACCTACGCTATTGTGGTGTAAAATTAAAACTTAATACGAATGAAACTAAAATTGTTGTTGTTGTTGTTTTTATACCATATTTTCACCAAGTACCTATGGATGCAAATTTTGCATCAATAGGTAGGTACTTGGTGAAAATATGAAGATACTACCTTAAGCAAGATACCTTAAGGTAGTACTCTCTCAAAGTGTTAGGGTTAGAGGATATTTTGCATTAATACTTGGATATTTGCAATGCAGTGGCGGCTGGTGGATTTTGGGCACACCCATATCTCAGTTATTAGACATGGGACCCACATCAAATTTATATGAGTTTATAATGACATTATATAGACAAGATCTGCGCAAGCAGAATTCAAATTAAAGTTTGCGAAAAAAAATAGTTTTTAAGTGTGCCCCCAGCCTCCTGCCCCCTAAATTAAGATAATTCAAATTAAAGTAGTACAATATTTAATTCACTCAAATTTGTCGACAAATTTCAAATTTTATTACAACAATTTAAGTTTACATATTTTACATATTTTATCCCATTTCTATTTTTTCTATTTTTTTTTAAATTTAGTATAAGAAATAATAAAAATTTAAACTGATATAAAACCTGTAATTCTTGAAATTTTTTAATAAAATTTGAAATTTGTCGATAAACTTCAGTGAATTAAATATTGTACCACTTAAATTTGAATTATCTTAATTTGGGGGGGGGCAGGAGGCTGGGGGGGCACACTTAATAACTAACTTTTTTTCGCAAACTTCAATTTAAATTTTGCTTGCGCAGAACTTGTCTATATTCATTTGAAGAATTTCCATAGAATTTGTGCTACCAACATAAGGAACACAAAAATATTACAGTTTTAAACCTTAATTTTGCCATTATAACAACAAATTAACAATTTATACTGTTAGGAACTTAAGTAAATAATTATTTACTTTTTATATTGTTTTTAATATTTATTGATACTTTAATATGTGAAAAGTATTAATTTGTTAATTTGTCAATTTAACTGTTTATCTATTTATCAAACTCAAATGGAGCCGGATTTAAACTTTTGCCGCCCTTGGGCACTGAAAAAAATGCCGCCCCATCATATTATGAAACTTAGAAATATTGTCGCGACAAACCTTCGTGATCTAAATTCGTACAATCTCTATTGCTAGATTCTAATTTTTGTGTAACACGTTCCTTTTTCGTAAAAAATCATCTAGTTTGGGAGTTTTACTCAAAACCTCTTGTTTCTTTTTACTTTTGTCCTAAGCGCGCTTTCGATACTCAGATCCACTCAATTTTTTGCGTCCATCAGCCATGTTTGACAATTGATCGTATATTTGAGGCCTGTCAGAGCAAAATCAACAATCTTTCATCAGACTAAAACTGAGTAAATTGAGATAATTGATTTTGGTATTTTAAATTCTGGATTTGTAATTTTTTTATATATTATATTGAAATATTGTTGTTGTTAGTCTAGTAGCCAACTACAAGGTCTCCAGGATGCATAGTATAGGTGAAATCTATAATTATAAATTGGAGATTGCTGACTTTGATATGAATTGCTGGAGATTGCTCATTTTGTTGTAAACGTTTAAGGAGATTTAGAAAAATAAACAAAAAAATAATTTATTTGATTTGATTAGATTGGTTAATAAGGATACTTCCGTGCTTGTTTTTAAGTTTTTATTGCGACTAGTTTCGATCTAAGATCATCTTCAGGCAAAATGTCAATAATTAAAATATTTGTAAGAAAGTTTATCAATTACATTAAATATATGCATAAAAATATTTTTAGATTTCGGTTAAAATTATTTACAATATATATTGTAAATAATTTTAACCGAAATCTAAAAATATTTTTATGCATATATTTAATGTAATTGATAAACTTTCTTACAAATATTTTAATTATTGACATTTTGCCTGAAGATGATCTTAGATCGAAACTAGTCGCAATAAAAACTTAAAAACAAGCACGGAAGTATCCTTATTAACCAATCTAATCAAATCAAATAAAATTAACCTTGCTAAAAATGGACTACAAAAAAAAAAACCTTAGAAAAAAAAAAAAAAAAAATAATTGTTTTTTTATTCCTTTAATGTGTATAAATTTAACTATACAATCAATGTGGGAAAATTCTGAACTGGACCACATAAATCTGGAGTTTCTTTTAAATCTGGGACCAGGTTACCTCGTGCAAAAAAGTACAACAACTCATCATCTTCTTCCCACTTTGCTCCGTAATGTTTTACTTGCAATGTTTTGACATTATCAGCCTTTTCTTGCTTTACCTTTACGTCTTATTATGGTATAATAACACAAAATAAACAAGATAACTTTTTTTATAATTCTTAAAACAATAAAACGTATATATAACTATTTTAAATATATTTTTAAGTGCCATTTACTGCAATAGAACTTAACAGTATGTAACAGTAAAAAACACAAAATTAAATCTCTAAAATACGTTATAACATGAAATGTTAGGATATCAGGTGACACAAATTACTAATTTCTAATGGTGGAATTGGAGATTGTATACTTTGCTGCAAATCTATCAGTGGAGATTGTCGACTTTGCACTAAATGTCATTTTTAAAATAGGATTTTAGGCAGGATTTAGCTCCTTTTGCAGCACATAAACTTTATCATCTTATAGATAATTAGTTGAAGTACAGTCTCCGCCAAAAATCTAATTTTTGACCAAAAGTGGAGATTGTCGGTTTTGCTATGACAGGCCTCATTTATGCTCAACATTAATGAAATTTTTTGCAGGTTAGATTCATGTCAACGTCAAATGTGAAAATGACTATACCGATAGAAACTAGATATATTTGTAAAACAGACTGCAGATGGCAGTATGCACAGTTGAAATTTGAATAGATTCAAAAGTATAAGATTTTCTTTAAATTCGAGTTAATAAGTATAATCGACGAATTATTCAATTTTTAAGAAATTCATTAATTAATTAAAATTTATTTTTTTAACAAATGCAAAAATATCTCAATAACATTCTTAATTTTTCAAAAAAAAAACAAATTTAAATTTTATGATTCCAGCAAAATAAAAAATCAAATATTACCATTCCAAATCTTCAAAGAAATTAATTAATTAAATTATTTCGAAGATAAATTTTCACTTAAGGTGCCAAAATTATGATTTACAAAATTTCGATTTGACAAATATTGTACGAGTCGAATTTCTTGAATTATCTATTAAATAATATATGATTAATTAAAAGAATAAAAAGTTTCTATTGAGAATTTTTGATGACAATAAAAAAAAAATTTCACTTTCCAATTTTTGCCGCCATAGAAAATTTGCCGCCCTGGGCACTAGCCCCGACTGCCCCTAGTGTAAATCCACCGCTGGATACATACTTAAATACTTATGTATGTATCTCCATTTGAGTTTGATAAATAAATAAACAGTTAAAATGACAAGGTATTTACTATAGCTTAATACGCAAGGCCCTCATGAAGAATCCTGCAATGTGGAGTTAAGCTTTTCTTAAGCTAGGATCAGACGGTGCAGCCTCTCGCGGCGACTTTATCGCTGCAACAAGTTGCAGCGATTTTGTTGCACACAAGGTATTCACACGAACCAACTAAATTGGCGCAATTTTCCACCAGGATTGCCAATTTTTCCGAAAATTACTAAGGGGAAAAATAAAAATACCTGTTCTGATTTAAATGTATGTTTTCGTTATTTCGTTAAAAGTGTTTAGTGCATAGATTAAATTAATGGTAGTGCTTATTATTATTAACAATAACAAACATTTAATGTTTTATTAAACTAGACTACTACACACTCTTAAAAATAAGGTTGTTATCTGTCATTCCATTTGACAAATATTAAGTACCAACCTTATTTTTTAGTGAAAATTCGTAAACCCCTGTAAAAGTTACTAAGTCGCCGCAACTTTATTGCATGAAAAATAGAACATGTTCTATTTTAGGACAAGTTTGATCAACTGCTTAGTTTCATTGTGTGAACAACAAAAAATCGCCGCAACCTGGTTGCCGCGACAAAGTTGCTGCAAGAATTTGCATCGTCTGATCCTAGCTTTATGAGCAGTTTTTGTGGAAAAATTTTTAAAATTGAACTGCATGCAGTTAAAAATATCAACACAATTTGCAAATTGTGTTGATATTTTTATATATAGGTACCTACCTACTCAGAAAAAATATTCTTAATTATTTTCTCTGGTTGTTTTTTACCCCTTAAACTCCCAAAATGTTTAGGTTCATAAAAAATGCATTTTTCTTAAAATTAATTTGTAATTTTTTCCAAGAGATTTTTTTTTAGGATTTTTACTTAACAGAGATGAGAATAATTATTTATATGGGGTTCTAGTATCGGCCACTTTTGAACCCGACCCTTTAATTTTTCTTAGAATGTTTTAGTTTATTTCACCCGACCAAAAACATGTTAAAAAATTTTCAAAAAAATGTCTTTTTACCCAAATTTTTTTGTATTTTTTCTGAAAAGTTCATTCAAAACCAAAAAAAAAACGCCCAATTTAGTCAAATTTTGACAAAGTTATGTGTATTTTAAAAGAAAACTGGCAATTTTTTGAAAATTCGTAACTTTTTTTTGGTTGGGTAAATACCTACCTATATTGGAAAAATTCTGAGAAACTTTTTTAGTGGGGTAGAAAAAAATTTAAAAAATTCAGTCAAATCGAAAGAAGTTGGGTCAAAAGTGGTCGATTTGGCGTGGAATTCCCCATATATATATTTATAAATTAATTATTATGAAATTTGTGTTTTTAGCCTAGTTATTTTTAGATATTAGGTATACCTAATAAATTAATATGGATTTATAAAAATTGGAAGTTTATTTTATATGGTATACAGCTTATAAACTAAATCAGAACAGACCAGAACCAAAACAGGAAAATCAGAACATTTACTACCTTCGATTTCCAGTCAGAATGAAGACCTCAAAAATAGTATAGTTCTGATTAAATCAGAACAGTTGGTCACCTTACCATTTAAACTCATTGTAACAAACTGCAAATAAAAAATAAATATAGGTATTTCACTGGTACGCCTACACCGCCATTTTTTTATAAGCCGAAATAGCTCAGTTGGGAGAGCGTTAGACTGAAGATCTAAAGGTCCCTGGTTCGATCCCTGGTTTCGGCAAAACTTTTTTTTATTTTTATTTTAAGAAACAACAGTTGTTTCTTAATAAAACGGGTTTTTTACATTTACCTCTATAACGTTGGTAAAAAAAACTTTTAAAGTCACGTCCTTATAAGGATACCTATAGGTATTCTTTGGTCTATTAAAATGTTTACCTATTTTTTATCTATTTTTGTTGTTCCTACGGATTTTTCTACGTAAGAGGTATAATTTCGGAATTACGTTAAAATTAATAACGGGCAATGTTAATCGTGACAATTATAGATATAGTATAGATATCGGTTTATACAAATATTTAATTTAAATATTTTTTTAGATATTATTTAGTATTTGTCGTAGAAAAAGTATAGTATGCTCGTTTGTAAACTTTTCTTGACACTTATTTAATTAAACAATCGCTCGCAAGCTCGACCGTGCCTCAATAAAATTCGTTACCAAAATGGCGTTTATCAAACTTAATACATAATATACTATTAAAGATGTGTTTACAATATTTCAGTTGTTATAATTTTATAGTATAATATTGTTATGTATTAAGTTTAACAAACGGTATTTTAAATTTAATTGAGCACGAGCAGAGATTGCGAGCGAGTTTTTAATAAAAACAAGTGTCTGCCCAATGTGTATTTAAAAGATCACTTGGTGTCATGGAAACATGTACGATAATGAGCATTTAGGTGGGAGTAGAAAAAATGTATTAATGGGACCAAAAAAAATCCAATAAATAATTAAAAAATAATTAACTTCAATTAATAATGTTTTGAACGGACTTTTGCGCATTCTGTACTAATTATAATTGCATCACAAATACCATACATATAATTACCCATTCACGACATGTGTCCCAAAAATGACCTTGACTATTTAGAAAATTGCATAATATTTACAATTGATGGCAATTACGTACGAGTAGTGGTTTAAATACTAGCCTTTTAATTACTTTTAAAATTATAATGTATTGACTGTTTTAATTAATAGAAATATATAAACTTTATTTGTCTAAAAATAAAATGGTTAGTTACAAAACAATCAAATATTAAGTAAAAAGAAATAAAAATAAGTTATATAACTTATACAGGATGGGGAAACAAAAGTTTTTAGTTTTTAAACCTTTCAGTGAGAATATTCTTAGGATCATGCTATATTTCTTCTAAAGAACATGCTTAAAAGACATATAGCATGATCCTAAGAATATTCTTACTGGCATATAGGCAGGTTCTTAGAAGGTGCAAAGTTTTAGTGGTAAAAATTAGTCTTCTCTAAACATACATATGCTTAGAATGTTAACAAAGTAATTGCTATAGAAAGTTCATTTAGGAATATTCCCGCTAAGCATATTTAGTTCAGTTACCTATATAATAGTAAAATATACCATAAACTACGTATAAAGGTATACCTATATCTAATCAGTAATTAGTATTAAATACTAAGTAAAAAACACAATCCAAAATATTTTTTTATAGTTATTTGTCAAATTAAAACAATATTCGATAACAAAAATACTATAGTATATATATCTTCAACTTCAATCTAATCTGACTTATCCCACAAAATTTTTACAACTTATGGTTTAGAGGTCAAATTGTTTATTTATTATTTTTAAATAAATATATATGTCGCAAAGTTTTTTAAGGGGACGACAAATACATTTCACTGTCATATTATGACAGTGAGGGTATTTGTCGTCTCCTAAAGAATTTTACGAATGTAGAATACAACATATTAGAACGTGGGTATCTAACATATTTGGAAATATTCTCAAAAGGTTCCTAGAAGCTTCATAAGAAACCTGCTAAGAACATTCCAAAAACGTATTCTTAAAATGTTCTTAGGATTCTTTTTAGGAAGGTTTTAAGAAGCTTTTAAGAATCTAATTGCATCATTGAAATGGTATCTATTGAATGTTATAAAAGTCCCTAGCAATAAGGGAAGGTTCTAAGAATATTCCATTATTCCGGGTCATATCTTCTTAAAATCAAATTTTGCTATCAGGGCAGGTATCTTGATATATTTTCATCTCTTTAAATAACAGAACCAAAATAACCTGGACGCTGCATTTTTTAACTGAAAAAAAGAGGAAATTGAAAATTGGTATTAATAAAATCAAGAACGCCCCCCACCAAAACATCCTTTAAGTATACAATCAACTGGAGTAGGTTTTTATATTTTTGTGCCCTATATGAATGCATTTTGTATTTTTTACAAATTATATGTTAAAATGTTTGTTTTAGAATGGTCCTCTTACCAAAAATCATTTTCATTGCAAGCTAATTTTTTTATTTTATTAGCATCACGATGCAGGTATCATTTGATTAAATTATATTAAATTAATTAAAACATATTAAATATTCATTAAAACCCAATTCTTTTTACTTAAAATCATTATGTGTTTACAATAAAATTGCTTAAGTGTATGATATTTAAAGCAATACCATATATTTGCATAGGAAACATATAATTTGTTTAAAGAAAATTCGTATTGACAAATTATAAAAACCCAGTAAATAGAATTTTTATAATTTGTTGTTTTCAGTTTTGCGTGTACAATTGTAGTAGTGTTTAACATGCCGGTTTCTGAGGTCCTCATACAACATTTGGTGTTACAGGTTATGAAGAACGAGAATTACGCGACATTTAAAATAGATACAGGTGGAAATACGGCCAGAGGTGATGGGTACTTGGGTGATATATCATTTATTACAGTCACTGCTTGCAGAAATGGCATCAAAAAACCTTACAGACTAGTTGTTAAGGCGGCAAATCCCAACGAAGCCTTTAGAGAAAAAACACCAATTGAAGACGTCTACAAAAGAGAAGTTTATATGTACACAACCATATTTCCCTCTTTATACGACTTATGCAATGATTTCTGCGTCGACTTCCCCGACCTTAGTTTCGCTAAAGTCTACACTTCCTGCTTGGAACCTAAAAAAGAAAGCATTGTCCTGCAAAACATGAAAACCATCGGTTTTGATCTCCACAGTAGATTAGTGCCGATGAATTTGAACCACGCCCATATGGTTTTCAGTAGGTACGGAAAGTTCCATGGTTTATCCATGGCAATGCGTCACAAAAAATCTGCACTGTTTCAAAAGTTAACCAAAGACATGACGGATTTGTTCGGCATTTTCCTCGCGCAAGCGAATATGGTCCCGTCTATACGGGAAGATTATAAAACCGCTATGAAGTTGCTGAAAGAGAGAGGTCGTATGGATTTAGTAAGGAAATATGAAAATGCAAAAATTTTTGAGGATATAGAAAAGATTACTTGTAAAAGTACTGACCCAAGTGATCCGGCGTCCGTTATTTTACATGGGGATTGTTGGAATAATAATTTTATGTTTAAATATGATGTAAGAATATGAGGCATCTTATCTTTATGACGAAACGTTATTGCATAGCAAAAAATATTAGTTTTAAGATAAATAATATTTCTGTGAAGTTTTAGACGAAAAGTAGATTTCTTAGAGGTTGTAAGTATTTGATTTCTTCCTTAAGTTAAGAACTCTGTCAATACCAAGCAATACAAAAATCCACTTTTAGTCCAAAACGTTGAAATACTACATTTTTTAATTTAAAATTAAAAAAACTTTTTTAGGGTTTAAACAGAAATCAACCAACTGATATGATATTCATTGATTTTCAATTGTCCAGAGTCGCATCACCTGTTTATGACTTGGCCTACTACGCATACGCGTGTTTAGATAAACATGTCCTTTCTGACATACACTATTTGTTGGAAGTTTACTACAAAAGTCTTTTAGAAACTCTGGACAGATTTGGAATCAATGTAAATGATTTCTTTTCGTTTGACAAGATAATAAGTCACTGGAAACAATATGGTAAATATTTATTTTATAATCATATATTATATCACGAGAACTATGAATTTAATCGGGTAAACTAGGCTCAGTAGTTTTTTGTTTGGTTTTTGTTGGAAAATGTTGAATGCAAAATAATTTTATAAAATCACGAGACCGCGTAGCGGTCGAGGGGTTTTATTTTTAATTATTTTGCATGAAACTATTTTCCAAAAAGAAAAATCAAATAAAAAACTTACTGAGCATAGTTTGACAGATTAAATTTATAGGTTGAGATATATACGTCTAGATTATTTCTCGAATTAAAGGAAACTATTTGACCATTTATAAAATCTGACGTATGTGTCAAAGTTTATAAATATTTTTTTAAAGGAAATTCCATTAATTTAAGGTATGTAATAAGTAATAATTGATATTTCGTAAACTAGATAACTTATTTTTTATTGTTTTTTAAAAAATGGTTGTTAAAACTTGTAAATAACACCATAAAATCGTAAACAAAAAACCAATATGGAGGCTAAAATTTAATCGCTGTTAAATTGTTCTAGTGATTTAATCGCTTATTTAAACGAAATTTATTCGAAAATTTAAGCCTTTTGATTGGTTCATATATATATATATATATATATTATATTGAGGGAAATAATCATTTATATAGAAATTCAACGTGCATTTGGATATGTAAATTTTAGTACAAATATCAAAATACGTATGTCATTATTGGTCGAATTATTCGCTTCAATTAATACACAAAGTCAATTAATTTCATGGAAAGGGTTTATGAAATTGGTTTCTGAAATACTATTTAGAGTGGTGGTCATTGTAGCCTATTACCCATATTATGAGTTAGTGTATAATCAAAAATGGGCGTCACACTTTGTATATCGTCATTATTGGTCTTCTAAGAGCATATGTCTATCAGAAGTACAAAAAGCTACTGTGTACTTTTCTAAAAACCTAGAAGCCTGAAAATTGTTTTTGTTCCATTTTTCTTTGCAGTATCAACGACGATATTTCATTTTTAAACAATAGTGTTATTGTGTGATGTCTGGAGATCTTGGAGGCAAAAAAATATGAGTTACATTAAATACATTGAGTTATTTAAGAATTATGTATTTTAACTTTACTACACAAGTTATCTTAATTCAGTTTAAAAAAATTTCACAAAAATTTTTTTGGTCAAATTGCAAATTCTGTTTTTTATAATAATATAATAATTCTTACCATTCTGTTATTAAATAAATTAAAAGTATTTCATTAATAACACAGGTCCATAAAAATTGTTCTTCTCCATGATATTCCTATCCATTTTCGCCCGCTGAATCTAAATCTGAACTCAGTTTAACACGTGTGGATTTTTTACAGTGCATTCCTAAATAAATTTTTTTATTATGTTTTATACAAAAAAATAAATTCATAAAAACTATTTGTTAAAAAAATAAAAAAAAATTGAAATAAATACACAAGGTGCTCAGAAATTAAGAAAATATAAAAATGCTCTGAAAGAGAAGTATCCTGAATTTTACAAAATCATTCCCATAAAAAAATTTGAATCAAATTAGAAATTAAGAAAACACAATGTTTTAAGATCGTGGTACCTTTATTTATCATTTTATAACAAAATTGTATAGTGTATGTTTTTGACAATTCTGGTCTAACTACTATAGTAGGTATATATATGTATATACCTACGATTTTTTAACAATTTTTATCTCTACGCGGTCTATAATTTAAACTTTATTGTTGTCAACATTCGATAAAGAAATAACTTGTTATGGCCTAGGCCGATAAAAATTTTTATGAGGCAAGTAATAAATTCGATTTTTTCTCGCAATACCCCTAGGGGTATTGTTTTGACAAATTAATCCTTTTCTAAGAAATTACCGTACTAAACTGGTTTAATTTATTTATAATAAGCACTAATTTGTTTGTTTTACGGTTAATGTTTCATATGTTTTGATTAAATTATTGTAAAATTAAATATGAATAATAAAACAAAAAGTGAGGTTAGGCAACCAAGAAAACGCACGATTCTTTTTCTACGATTTAAATTATCTTTAAGTTTTAATTTGCTTTACGTTTTCAGTGAAATTAAATGTTAAACACAGCTTAAACATTCCAAACTACCTATTTTTTAAATAAAAATCCAAACAAATTGAAATTAGATACCTACCAATTTATTAAACAATTAATTGAATTCAATGTAATAGCAAAAATCCATTTCTACTTAAATCATGTTGCTAGGTATTGTCAAACTTTTACTGCTTCTAAAAGCAATAATAATTATTGTACATTTAATGTAATCTTTAGCTAATAAATAAATGAGAATCTAAAAAAGTGAGGTTAGGCCGCTTTGATGTTGAATTAAATTGACTTACATAAAGTGCTTTGAAGATAAAATGTTGTATGCCATTCGGCCAAGAAGTGCCTTTTTGTGCTTCGCTCAACAGCTTAGCACAAAAAGCCTTACTTCTGAACCTAATGACATAAATAACTATTACAATTTATGTAATGTTATATTACAGTATATTTTTATGGACATTCAAAGAAAATATTAGTACAAAAGCGGCTGCATTAAGTTCAAATTTATTGCCAGAAAAGATCGCTGCGAAAAAGAATATCAAGCACTTCAAATTTTGCTCAACAGAAAAATTGTGAAAACAATAGGTAACCGAAGATTTTTTAGCTATCGAAAAGTTACACTTTATGGACAAAAATTTCAATGATAAAAATGTGTCTTAAACTACAAAAAAATAAGTAAGTTTTACGATGAACCTGTTGATGAACTTATTTTAAACGATTTTATAGACAAGGAAAGCTGTTCACATTCTTGAAGAAAAAGTCGGAGTGCTACAGCAGAGCAAATAATGTATTTTCTTTTAGAATCTTCGGACAGTCAATTTTACTAGAGAAAATCGTAGTAATTTTTGTAAATTTTTGAGGAAATTATTTCCTTGACATAATGTTAATATAAACTACACTGCTTAAAAGTTTCACTATTTAATTTAAATATGACAATTGTTTCGCTACACAGTAGCATCTTCAGATTGTATACAAACTAATATTAATTTTTTATTGGTTGGTGGAATAGGAATATTGGAAAGCACTCTTAGAGCACATCTCCCTTTTTTGTATTTATATACTTTTTTTTAGGAAAGTATGGTTTGCTAATGTCTCTTTTTATCGTTCGTGTCGAGCTTAGCAATTCCACCGAAGCGCCAGATTTCGCTGCCAGCGCGGAAAAAGGGAACTTGGACACGTTTTTGATTTACGAAATTGCTAATCAAGCGATTTACGACGAAAGAATATTGGATAATTTAATACATTTTGCAGAAAATTTTATATAAATAACTATTTTTAGTGCAACTGTTATTTGTTTTGTTAGTTTAACACAATGATTATTAAATAATATAAAGTAGGTATCCATTTTTATTTAGTACAAGTTTTGATTTTTCTTTTACCTCTTACCTATATTACAGGTTACTGTATACATAACGCTAAATGAAGATTAACCACAGGCCTGTATCTACAAAGGTGGAAATAAAAATTAAATTTTTCTCTCAGAAAATATATTTACTATAAAAAATACTTCCCATTTTCATATCCATAGTTACTATTATTTATTAACCTTCAAAAACACAAGCTGCTTGTTTATAACGCTCAAGATAACAGTAGCGATACCATTGCCTGCAGCGGCGCCATCTCGTGCCACAGTTATAAACTACATGGGTTACAGAGTTCTTTTATATGTAATGCTAAACTCCAGTAAATTTTATAACATAGCTGTCTTTATTTAGGTGGTTTGTGACGAAGTACACTGTTCAAAATTTCATGACCATTTTAACACCAAATTAACACCATACATGGTCTATATAGATACAAACCAAAATGGTGTTAAATAAGGTTCGTTGGTCCGGTGTAAATTCAAATACTAAAATGGTGTAAATTTAACTTTCACACAGTATTAAAATAAATGTTACCTGGTGTAAATTAAACTCCTTTTCAGTGTTAAATATAATGTGTTTTTGGTCAAATCAAATTATACTACACAGAAAAAAAGGAAACAGGAAGTTCCTTGACGCATTACAAGTATATTACCAGTGGTATTATTCCAGAAAATTGAACCTTCAACTCGCTAGAGATAATGTTTTTAGTGCCTTCCACTAACTTAAAATACTTCAAGTATTGACAGCTGTTTCCACCTATTTAAGGTCTCTTTAGTATCGAACAACTTGTAGTGTCACACCAAAGCAAAGGACTACCTGAGCTTATATACTCTTCATGTAAGTCAACAGAGGCATGATTTAAGAACATCACGTGATACACACCGCCTTTGCTGCGATCGGTACACACTAGGCAACCGGGAATGCACGGCAAATTGTTTTAATCGTTTAACAGAGTACTTTAGGTTGAAGTAACTCTTATTTTACAAACAACATATTTATACATACAGCGGGTTGGTTTCACTAAAGTTTTCTGGGTTAATTTAACCAATTTAAAAAAATAAAATAACTATCTGGTTTAGTACCGTCAAACTATTCTTTGTTTATATTAATCTTCCCACAGTTGATTTAAATAAATACTTATGGGTCAACTAAATTAATATATTAGTTAAATGAACTAACTATTACTTTTTTTCTGTGTAGGTGCACTTCTCAAATATTTTTAGATAAACACCGTTTTGGTGTTTGCTGTATAAAACATTTTCAACCATAATTCATGGTGTTATATTAACACCACTTGGTGTTGGATTTTGACACCATTTTAAGATTTGGTCATGTTTAAAAAATGATTCACAGACTTGTTATCACATTCTTTATTAGTACTGAGGAGCTACTTATTTGTTATTTTATTTTAGTTTTAGAATTCTGTTTCATAAAAATCCTATAAAATATATCCAAGTTTTCACTATTGCAATATGATGGGGACATGGGGTTATAAAATGTGACGCTAAACTCCAACCTTAATTAAGACATTAAAAATGTTTTATTATTTACTTTTTTTCTATTAATTTTTGTTTTTTTTTAAGTTTTTATTTATGATTACTTCCCTCATTATAATATGAATCAATCAAAAGCCTTGAATTTTCGAATAAATTTCGTTTATGCACGATGACATTATAATATGACAATTATAACAAAAATTCTTTGACGTAAACGTCTTTTTATAGCCCGCGGGCGTGATTATGACCCAGCGGGCTATAATGAAACCTCAAAAATTAAAAACAACAATGTTACACCATTTGATATATTCGAAGTAAGTTTTTTCGTATAAAGATTTTGATTTTTCCGGCAGCTGGCCGCCTTTTCAGCTGCTTCCTCAATTTCATTCATCTTTAAACTTTAAAACTGACTGATGTCAGTTGACATTATAATATGACAATTATAACAAAAATTCTTTGACGTAAACGTCTTTAAAAACAATAATATATTAAAAATAATATTATATTAATCGTGCATAAAGTTTTGTATGCATTGCTGGCATAACTGGTTTTTATGGTCCTACAACCATAAAAACCTTATTATGCCCTTAATGCATAAATAACTATTAAATAAGCGATTAAATCACTAGAACTATTTAACATCGAATAAATTTTAGCCTCCAAATTGGATTTTGGAAAAAATAAGTTATCTAGTTTACGAAATATCAATTATTACTTATTACATACCTTAAATTAATGGAATTTTCTTAAAAAAATATTTATAAATTTTGACACATACGTCAGATTTTATGAATTGTCAATTAGTTTCCTTTAATTCGAGAAATAATCTAGACGTATATCACTCAACCTATAAATTTAATCTGTCAAACTATGCTCAGTATTAAATTATTTTGCATTCAACATTTTCCAATATATGAATATATCTGTTTATTTATGAATCTATAGTTCTATATTGGATGTCTCAACATATTATATTTTTAATAAGACATTTTATATAATAATAAAATTGTTTACCATAGCATCATAACTGAAAGTCAACCAACAATAATTAATTATCAATAATTTTTTTAAAATAAATTATCAAAATCAGATAATATACTATATCTTAAACAATTTAGCAAATAATTGTACGGAGAAATTGAATTTTTAATTTTTGGAATAAACATTATACATAAATACATTAATATTATCATTATTATTATTATAAATATTATTATTAATTAATTGCCACGTAACCCTGGCGCATTCGCCATTTTTGACTATACTTATAATACAGTCTGTATTATACAGAGTCTATAGCAACGAGGGTACGGGACCCGCGGTGCGCGGTCGTTTTTTTATTTTTATTTAAAGTGTGTTTTGGAAACAATAGCTTAATTTATCGTAAAAGCTGCGGATACATAAAAAAACAGTTGAAATTGTAAAATCGAAAATCAAGCAATATAAACAGGTACTGAACTCTATATAACTTTCGCAGGTTTAGTGTAAATACACAATTTTTAGTAAAATGTATATTTTTTAGATGAACTAAAATTCGAAAAAAAAATCGTTTTTGTTGTAATACAAATATTAGAAAAATAAATTGAACATTCTTGTTCAGCAAACTTTACATATTTTATTGGTATCCAACCCGTATTTATTTTACTTGTGTTAAATAACTTGTTTATGTATGTAAGCCTATTTTATTTTTCTGTTATTATTAAAACAACATATTATTTATTTTTTCTACTCCCACCTTTAAAACGCCCTTAATCGTACATGTTTCCATGACCTTTTAAATACACATTGACAAGTTGTGGCTTTATGGCGCTTTAGTCACGGGCTGAAGTTAGTTTTAAGTTAGTTGGCAGTTGTCAAATGTCATACAATCGTTAAATAAAGTGCCTTTCTTGTAAAATAAAACTAAATGTGAAAATTATTTTATTATCTCAATACAAAAATACAAAAGTATTAAATACTTTCTCAACGCCAATATTTGAAAAGTTTATATGAACATTGTACTGACCTTTTAATTTCGCCGGCAGTAAATTCGGACACATTTTCTTTACTTTCACTGTGAAAAACTGCGCTCTATACAAATTTTTGATTTAAATAATTTTAAGATAATAAGTATTTGTCGTAGAAAAAATATAGTATGTCCCTCGTTTATAAACTTTTTTATACACTCATTAATTTAAGAACTCGCTCGCAAGTTGTAGTTAATATACATATCACAATAATACATTTTTTATTTTATTTTTGTTTCAAAATATAAATATAACATAATTTTACATTGCCAAACCGCTCGACGCGTTTTTTTAAATAAAATTAAAAGTGTGGTGAAATTACCACTTTATGTATATAACCTGTAATGTTAATCGTAATCGTTTTAAAATTGATTTTCACCAAATCAAAACGATACAAAATTTTAAAATGAGTGTGATATTTATATTTTAAACAATTTAGCGATTTTTACCTTTAATGCAACGCAATGTAATTGCAATATTTGTGGATTTTATTTTTATTCAACCATGGCAAGTAATCCTTTTTGGACAAAATTTTAATTTGAACAATTTTATTAATAATTATACAAATAATAATAAAGTAAACATCTTTTTTTTAATTCCCAGAAGAAATTTAGTTTTTTTAAACGTGAGTGTTTTAAAACCTTTTACTTACATTACACAATAAATTATCAAGTTAAGATTAGATGTGAACAATGTAAATAACCTAGAAACAACTGTTCGAATGAACTCGGCTATAGTCGTGCCGACACAATAATTTTAATATATTGAAAATAAACCTTGATAATAATAAGATGTGAAAAAACAGTCAAGTAAACAAATAATTTAACATTGCAACATGGAACATAACCTAAACGTTAAAATATTGAAGTTACTAAATGAGATCGCAGAAGAAAATGGTTTAAAGAATTGGGAAATAAAAGTTAAAAACGACAGTGGGAAGTGTGAAGGTTTCGCAAGTGTCATAGTGCCAGTTGACTTGATTTGTGATAATGAGGCGGTGTTGGAGTTAATAGTTAAAATAGCGCCCGGTGAGGAGCTACGGAAAACGATACCTTTCGAGAAGGTTTTCGAGAGGGAGGTTTTTGTTTATAAACACGTTTTACCTGCCTTTAGACAGTTAGAGGTAAACAATCGAGTTGTAGGTGATAAAACATTCACTAACTACGCGAAATGCTACAAAACGAGTTTGGAAAACTTGGAAGAAGTCTTGATAATTGAAAATCTGTCGTCTGAATACAAGCTTTGGAAGAAAAATGTACCTTTAGACGATAATCACATTAAATTGGTGCTGCAAAATTACGCAAAGCTCCACGCGCTCTCGTTCGTGCTTAAAAACGAAAACCCCGCTTTATTCGACACTTTTAAATCGAATTCAGAAGACGTGTACATGGACATAATTAAAAAATGCGGAACCGCAGGAATTATACGTAATCTGATTAGCAGGGTTTTAAAGTCGGAAAGTGTGCGTAAAGATTTAAAAACCTTTGAAAAGCTGACGAAATTTCAATCCGAAGTAATTGACGTTATGAGCGATCTCATCAATATTCAAGCTTCGGGGGATTATGGTGTGGTTGGCCATGGCGATAATTGGACAAACAATATGTTGTTTAAATATGAGGTAAATAAACAGTAAATTTAATTGCCATTTATGGTCCTTTGTAAGTATAACTATAGACTAAATTTAAAACTATATAAGGGTGAATCTCACGAAATGTACCCCGTGATATTTAATAAAACTTTACAATGTTTTAAAAGTCTAAAACCTATCCTCCGTGACTGTTACTTTTTCTAGGTTAACCTATATGTTTTCAATTATCTGAGGTAGTAAAAGCATACTAAAAATATCAGTTCACTAAGTAAATTAAACACATCCAAAGCAATCGAATCAAATATAAAATATTATTAAAAATTAAAAGAAATAACTTTTATAACCATTTATGTAGGTGTTACAAAAATTGATTCTATCCTCCGTGAATCAGTTTTTGCTTTAAATTTTATGTAACGGATGGCGCTTTAATAATTCTAAATAAGCAAAAACCTCTGTTTACGACATTATAGATGCATGTGATTCCTGAAGGTCAGTTAGAATTTATATGCAGTTGAGAGTGTTGCTGTTTTATAATTTAAAAGTTTAAGTTCATTAATTTGCTATTTAAAAACCTATCCACCGTGAAGTGTAATATCTCAGTCAGTAGGTTTTTTTTCATAAATATTTTATGTATGTACAATTGTATTTTTTTTTAATATTCAGTTGTTTAAGGGATGTTTAAAAAACATACGAAATCCTATCCTCCGTGAAGATCTAATATTCAAAATGTATGATTTCTTAAAATTCTTGCATTAGTGCAGAACCACTTATTTTATGTTATTACTAGACCTGGTGGCTTCTAGACTAACAGTGAAACAACCAAAAATAAAAAATAATCATTTTGACTTGGGGACATCTCAATATATTCACCCATAAGAAGATTTTAAAACTATACAAGGTATCCCTAAACTTAGTGGCATAAATTTGGGAGCAGATTAAGCAAGTCAAAATAAGACGAAAATCTAAATAAATATTTTTCCTAATTAGGTATGTTTAAAAGATACAGGGTAGTAAACTAGATTTAACTTAATTTTGGGTGGAGACTTCACCGTAAAGTGCTCATAAAATATCTTCACTTTCACTGTAAAAACTGTTGTTAGTCCATTTTCAAGGGATACATTTCAATTTATAACACATACAAATTTGACATTTTCACCTACGCGCCGGTAATACAGATTACCAAGTTGGTTACTCTATAATAGAGTAATAATTGTTTTATACAGTAAGTCCACAGATAGAGGGACCATGGACTACAATTTTTGTTCCTTCGTTCGGACATACGAACACGTTACGAATTAAAATAAAGTAGTAGCAGAAACATAATTTGCAGACGTTGAAGTCAGTTGAACTTGTTGATGCGTATTGTCAGTGGGAAATGTTTTGATTCACGTGTACTTTTTCAACAAAATAATTTCTTAAACATTAAAAAAATAATCTGTAACCTTTGAAATTAATAAAATAAAAACTACAAACTCATGTTAACATTTGAATCTAATTTTTATGACAGTTTACATTCTGTATAAAATTTATACTTTTAAGGCCATAATACTCGTACTAGTAATAATACTTTTTTGTTATAAGATAAATTGATTGATAAATTATAATAAAAAATTTTATAACCCTTATTAGGTAGTTTATCTAAATTGATAGGTATAGAACAATATTTATTAACATTGTTTTTATCTGTACAGTACTATAATGTTTATTAGGGTGATTCATTTCCGAAATTTTTTAATTTTTTTTTTCGGTGCTCAGACAAAATATTAATCTGCATATAGAAAAAAAAATTCTCACCAAGTTTGAGCTCTTAATATCAATTTTAAGTACTTACTATTTAAATTTAAAGTTTTACCGTTTAAAATGCATGTTTAAAATATTTTTCTTACTACCTCGACTCAAAATACGTTGTTTCGTCCCCGATTTCACGGCAGAAAGTTTACGTTTATTGCATTGGTCAAGCTATACGCGCACACTCTAATAGCGGGAGTAAAAATTTTTTAGTCGTGTGCTTAACATTCAAATTTCGTACTGCCAACATGAGAAACACAAAAATATGACAGTTTTAAACCATAATTTTGCAATTATAACAACAAATAAAGAATTTATGTTTTTACTTTTTTACTTTTTAAGTTGTTTTAAGTGTTTAATGGTACTTTTATTTGTTATAAAGTAGTAATTTATTAATTAAAATACAACCTTTTATTTTTACTGTATTGGCACCGCTGAATTACCATGACAACGCTACAGTTTGATTGATTTTGAATGTAAACGTCAGAATTAAATTAAACGTCAGATTTTAATTTTGACACAAGTTTTTTTATATACATTTAATTTTTTCCCGTATTTTCTGCGGGGTAGCAAGAAAAATAGTATACACCACACGGGCAGAAAGTGTGAGAGCCCTGAACTGCGCGCCATGATGCCCTCGGCTTCGCCTCGGGCATCATGGCGCGCAGTGCAGGAATCTCACACTTTCTGCCCTTGTAGTGTAATATACTATTTTTTTTATTAAATTTCTAATGCTAACTCACCTTTTACAATATTGCAAACCGGTTTGATAAACCCTGTGGGGAATTTCACCTTCTTCAAAATTGCTTTTGAGTTTTTTTGTGTAACTCGCATTGGTTCACCAGTAGGAGTCGTCAAAGGACAGTTTTTGAAAAAAATCGTTTTTTTATTTATAGCAAACCGCCAAAAGTAGAAAAAGGGCTGACTCATAAAAAAACCAATTGGTTGCTATGCGAAAAATAATTGTCAATGTTGACGTTCCTAATTTTAAAATAAAAATGTCAAAAAATATGCGTTTTGGTCAAAAAAAACATACAGAAATTGTAAGTTTGGTTAGTTTTTAATGCTTATTAATATTTAAATATAACATTTGTTGTACCTAAAAAAATATTCGTGAAATAGTCTTGCCGAATTATATACGATAAACCATTAAACACAAGTAATAGCAAAAAATAGATATAATAGTAATTTAAATATAGTTTATTAAAAAATTGGTTTATTCTGTTTTAGTATCAGTGTAACTTGATTCTCGGACTAATCACTTAATACGACAAACAATGAGAAAATTATGTTGAGGTAAGTATGACATAAAGCATCAAACCCGTTAACGAATTCGTCTTAAGACAAGATTGTAGCTAATGTCATATTAATTAACTAGAGCAATCATAAAATTTGAATAGTTGTTTTTCCAATCCTATAATTATTGTTATTTTTTAGCTTATGTTAGAATCTCGGGACTGCTTGGTGCAATTTTTTTAAAAACGATTTCTACTTATACAAAGTTAGCGTGAATAAAGAAGACAATGAAAAAAAAATTTCGCTAGTCTAGGAATTTCGCTTCAAAAAATTAAATAATCTTCATTTACCTATACTGCCGTGCTTAATAAAAACGCCGTAACCAACAATTTTGCGATTTTTGGTTTACGGCATTTTCTACTAGAACAATTCATCTTGCGTCTATCCCCGGTACTCAAAAAACCGTATCTATTTCTATATATATATTGAGTACCGGGGATAGACGCAGGATGAATTGTTCTAGTAGAAAATGCCGTAAACCAAAAATCGCAAAATTGTTGGTTCCGGCGTTTTCATTAAGCACGGCAGTATATGAGTCAGCCCTTTTTTTAAAACTGTACTTTGACGACTCCTACGGATGAACCAATGCGAGTTACACAAAAAAACTTTAAAGCAATTTTGAAGAGCGTGAAATTCCCCACAAGGTTCATTAAACCTACTTGCAATATTGTAAAAGGTGGGTAAGCATTAGAAATTAAAAAAAAAAGAATATTTTTTACATGCATTTTAAACGGTAAAACTTTAAATTTAAATAGTAAGTACTAAAAATTGATATTAAGAGCTCAAACTTGGTGAGAATTTTTTTCTATAGGCAGATTAATATTTTGCTTGAGCACCGAAAAAAACCAAAACTTTGCGGAAATCACCCTAATGTTTATATTAGTACATATTTTACTTAGTATACTTTGACTAAAATTATTAATTGAAGTAAATAAACGTTTATTTACTTCAATTAATAAGTTTAGTCAAACGATGAAAATATAAAATTTAAATACAAATTTGTAGATACCTATTTTATCTATGTAATATTTACCTATTATTTAATTAAAACGTGTTTATTTAATAACATAAATTTATTTATTAACAAAAATTCATATGGTTATATTTGCGTTTAAATAAATAGAGCAAAATAATTTGCAATATTGTATTAAATAAAAAACCATGCCAACAAAAGTTTGTTATTTTAATTAAAAAATACTTTTTTTTCAAGCGGCCATTATATACCTACAACCTTATATGCATGTATATTAGGGTGGAGTGAATTTTTTTAAATTTATTAATTGATTTTTCCTATATTATTAATTGTTGACTAAAGGCGTAAAATGAATAAATATCGAAAAAATATTCCAATTTTTTAATATCTTGAGGTGGCGCATCTGTCTCGAAGTTTTGAAAATTCTAAAAAAATATTACTTTAATCAAAGTAATAAAAATAGCATTATTTATAAATAAAAAGTTTATTTTAGTAAAATTAACGTGAAACGTAAACATATTTAATAGTAAATCATATGCTTTAAGTAACTTCAGGAGTGTTTATTGGTAGAAATGAGATCTTCTTTTTTGCGAAAATACTGACATTTGGTATCAAAATTTGGTAATTATTTTCTGACTTTAATTCTTGTTCTGATGAAACCATTTCTTGCTTCCGATCCACAAACCGAGACTGAAGATTCAGTATACTGGTTATAACCAGTTTTACACAGCGTTCCACTGCTTGGGTGTGACACTGAAATTTTTGGAAGTATAGAATATGGTCACCCGAAGAAATCATATCGGTAATTTCTGTCATCGTATTTCATAGTCATAGGTGGTTCAGTCACCTTTTCTGTCGCCCAGTGAATTAACTGGTACAAACGTAATGCTTCAGTATTTAGTTGTGGAAGCTTTAATTCCCGTAATCTCGAACATTTTGATTCTTTTCTCGCCTTTAATATTTTCGGCAATGC